AGGATTTCGGAATTATATCCCTTGATAACATCCACTTCTGTCTAATTGATGATATCAGAGGTCCAGATAGTTTCTACGTTACATGTAAGAAAATTAATTTCTAAGTTTAACTAATATGAAAATGTCGTACATCATTTATAGAAAAAAATATTTGTTATTAAATTATACACTATCCTTCTGGTATTTCTTTCCCGAAACCCTTCGCATATGCATACATGTTAAAGATTTTGAATTACAAATCTTTTATCGTCACAAGTAGAGACCCATAACCAAAGCAGTTATGTCAGTAATACATTATTTACTTCATTATCACCTAGTAATTAACATCAATTGGTACACCCACAAGAAACATTTCCAGTTCATCACCTGGTACTAACTATCAGGTGATCTATTAAGTTATCATTTCCAGTATTTAAAAGTTCATATACGCATTTACTCCCATTGATATATAAAACACTGGAACATATGTATTTCTTTGCTCTTCTGACATTGTCAATTTCTAATGATTTTCACATGATAAAAAATCGGTACTCCTTGAAACTCTAAAACAAATTTTCCGTAACATTTCGTTCTTTGTATACATTCTAAATACTTCTAAATGTTGAGAGCTATTGAGAACTACCAGTGACAAAAATTACACTGTTCTCTCTCATATTTTCTTTCTTTTTCTTTTCTATCCTCTCTCTCTCTCTCTCTCTCTCTCTCTCTCTCTCTCTTCTTCTCTCTCTCTCTCTCTCTTCTCTTCTTTTCTATTTTCTTTCATTTCTTCTTCTCTCTCTCTCTCTCTCGCCTTTCCCTTCTCTTTTCTTTACTCTTCCTTCCTCTCTCTTCTCTCTCTCTTCTCTCTCTTCTCTCTCTCACTCTCTCTTCCTTCTCTCTCTCTCTTCTCTCTCTCACACACACACGTGTGTGATATGTATAAATACACCTTTTTTCTCTCTCCTTTCGAAGAAAGTAAGGCGGGATACTCTCCCCCCCTCTTTTCTTTTTCTTTTCTCCATTTTAAATTTCTCCCACTTCCTCTTTCTCGTTTTTTCTCACCCCCTCACACCTCCTTTTCTTTTCCGTCTTTTGTATTTATTTTTTTCCTCTCTCACTCCTCTCTTCTCGTCTTCTTCTCTCTCTCTCTTTCTCTCATCTCTCTCTCTCTTGCGAGAATCTCTCTCTCTCTCTCTCTCGCAGAAAGTAGGGCGGGGCACCTAATCGATTGGTCAGCAACAGACTGTTCTTGCAAAGGCCGTCAACCTTTTCGCGTGACAGTACGCGAATTCACACTAGGCAGAAGTATGCGGTCCATCGATTTTGTATCTATGCTTATCCTCTAAAACGTCTGTGGTCCTCGGTCCCACCAGAAAACATGTACGTAAAAAAATAAAAATCGCAACGGACGACACACGAACGTGATGTAATATTCATAATCTACAGTCTTGCTATTTTAGACTGGTTCTCAAGCTAGAGTGCGCGCGCCTGACGGAAGTCTTGGTTACCGGGTATTTATCCTAACACTGCAGAGGGGTTCAAGGATAGTGTAAAATCTGCTTATTGAAAACGCCAATGATAAACTGATAAAACTGATAAACGTTTGATTAGAAATGTACTTTTTTTTTTTTAGCTTTTTAAAGGCAACCGGAGGTGAATTGTACCTTTTTAGTTTTTTTCTGAACATTTTTTAAATATTAAAAGTTTGAAAGGGGCCATGCAAAAAAAAAATCGTTGAGGACCACTCCTGTATCATGTCTTGGTATCACACGGATTATAAAATATGCAACATACTTTGCAAACTGAATGAATGTAGTCGATAGAACTCATAGAGATAAAAAAATAAATAAATAAACAGAAAAAAAACACAGGTTGGCATGAGGAACAAACGAAAACAAACCAAAATTTAGCAAAGGATCGAGATTGACGAAAACAGAAACAAAAAACGAGTAACATGAATTACAACTCACACGGACGTATGTCGGCTTTGCCTTGTGATCTTACTCCCTGTGATATAACGGATACATAATTCAGTGGCTGCACTTCGCTCCATCCACACAATCAATGGGCAACCTGACGTCAGAGGAAAAATCCCACGTTTTCAGGACCTTATGTGAGCCGAATTGCCTTCAGTCCTTCTACCACGAACCAGGAAAAAGGCAGCTAGGATAACGACAGTCATTGTGATTTACCGAGAGACAGACAGACAGATAGATAGATAGAGAAAGGGAGAATTAGAACGCGAAAGATAAATAAAGAGCGAGAGCGAGAGAGAATGAGAACGCGAAAAATAAATAAATAGAGAGAGAGAGAGAGAGAGAGAGAGAGAGAAGAGAGACGAGAGAGAGAGAGAGAGAGCGAGAGAGAGAGAGAGAGAGAGAGAGAGAGAGAGAGAGAGAGAGAGAGAGAGAGAGAGAGGGTGAAACAGATAGACAGACAGACAGATAGATACACAGATAGATAGAGATAGAGAGACAGATAGATAGATAGAAGATAGAGAAAGTGTGTGTGTGACGGCAGTTACCAGTTATACATCCGGGTCAATCTCTTTACCCATAGGTTATAAAGAAAGTGAGTTTTTCTTCATCTCAAACATCCCTTTTCATTCCGGCAACTTACACACAATTATTGTTATTTTAAAATGAAAATAAGAAATAGTCATTACTAAACACGATTTAGGTCACTAAGCATTGATTGCACCGCGCCCGGGTATACAGCGAGTGATCGGGACTGTTCCAGCATATACCGGTTAGCTGTCACAGAGAGAGGGTGCAGGCTTGAGTTTTGGAACATGGAAGATTCTGAGATCGATAATCCTGAAAGTACCTCTTCGTCCATTTCAGAGGATATTGAAGCACTGTCTCAAGCGCTTTCTCCTTCTAAGGCACAAACCCAAATGGATTTAAATCCAGCAGACACCATGGCGACGACTGAAGAACCTGTGGATCCATTTAGTAAAGTTGAGAGCGAAGGACAGGAGGAAATTAACGACTTTCTTCATCAAGAAGAGAAAAGCGATAATTATGAAGAAAATTCAAATGTACATCCAACTGAAGTGGCAGTTCTAGGGAATGATGAGACTGAGTTGGATTTGATAAGTACTAAGAGTCCTGAGGACGAAAATGAAGATTTTTTTGCAAGTACACCTCCACCGATGAACATGGGATCCAGCAACATGTTAAAAAACGTGACAGATCTACCGAACCTTGTGAATTCTTCAGGAAATGAAGAAGAGCTTGAAACAAATGAGGACTTGACTATTCAAGGAAATGAAGATGTAAAAAGTGTTCAAAGTCTTCGGCAGGACGAGGGAGTTATATTCCCAAGGGCGTCTTCTGTGGCGTCTGTAAAATCAGGCCTGCCTCCCTTGAATCCTGAAAATTCAATAACTCTAGGCGAGTCAGAAACTCAGAAGGATATTGATGCTGATGAAACAAAGGAAGGAAACGAGGAGAGTTCTGAAAGTCCTCAAGCAGAAGCAGAGGAGGGAGATATGGTTGCAAGATCATCACCTTTTGTGTCTATGTTACCTGAAAATGAGCAAATAGATAATGAAGTAACTCCCATAAATCTTGAAAACTCTTCAACAAATGCAAATGAGGATGAAAATGAAGACCAAACTACATCTTCATTTGACTTTTATTGGAAAAGTAAACTTGAAAACGAGTCCTTCAATTTGCAACCAACCAAAGCATCTGCTTTAGAAAGTGATCAGACCATGGAAGAAAGTTATCAAAATGATAAAGGTTTTCCTCTGGATGACTATGAAGAAGAGTTATCACAAATACCAGAAGAGGAAGTCATAACTGCAGAAGCACACGATGAAGAGGAAGTTATATCTGCAGAAGCACATGAAGAGGAAGAAATTCAGTCTGCAGAAGCACAAGAAGGAGACGAAGTTCAGTCTGCAGAGGCACAAGAAGAGGAAGAATTTAAATCCCAAGATGAACCTTTCATGACAACTGCAGGTGATGTAAGTCAAAGAATACAGGCTGATGTTAATCTTCCAGAAGTGTACTTTACAGTAGGATACAAGAATCAGTTTAGTGAAGATGTGGAGAAGCCATTCACATCCTTCTACAGGGATCAACTTCCTTATGTTGGTGAGGACAGTATTCAGTATTTTAAGTATAAAGGAACTAAAGTCTGGGACAAAGTTGAAGGCTTTGATCATGTATTTTGCAGTGTTGGGACTGATGTCGCAATTGAGGAAAAAATAAATGAAATTGAAGAATACTTAGCAAAAAGAGCGCTTTCCTTTACTCCTGATGATGAAGCAAGTGAAGAAGACAATTTTGTTCTTTTGGGAGGTGGCAGCTATGGTACAGGGTTGGCAGACAGTTTTTCAGGCTCAGTTAAACCCAAAGCCACACATTTCCTGTGCATAAAAGTGAAGAATGATCAAGTGAAATCTATAGCTGCAAAGGTAAAAGAACATTTGCTTAACAAGGAACCAGATCTTTATAAGTGTACATTGCCAAACGAACGTTTACATGTCACTCTTGCTAGGGTCCATTGCAGTGCTCAAGATGCAATCATCGAAATCAACAACATGCTAAGAGGTTTGCGACCACGTATTCAAGACCTTGTTGGTAGTTCTGAATTTGAAAATCCTCAGCGGATTATAAGAGCTCGAGGATTATCAACCTTTGGCAATCAAGTATTGTATGTCAAACTTGATGTTCCAGCAGCCTTTATTTCTGTGATTGAGAAGCTTCAGGAGTCTCTCTCTCGTATCAAAAATGTTATTGTTACTAACCACTTTGAGTCTATTCCTCATATGGTTCTCATGAAAGTGGATAATACAACTGCCCGGAAAAGGGGGTTTAATAACTTTGATTCCAGTCTCTACAAAGACTATGTTAATCAAGACTTTGGAATGATTACATTTGATAACATTCATTTCTGTCTCATTGATGATATAAGGGATCAGGATGGATTTTATATCACAAGCAAGAAAATTGAGTTTTAATTGTGTGAAGATTTTGGGCCATATTCACTTATTAAGTACTAAATAAATCTGTTGCACATGCACATACATTAATGCTACTGTCATAGAATTATGATATGCTTTTATTTATTTATTGAAAAATATCTGCTGTGTCAACACCTATAGCCATATGAGGAATTTTTTTGGTTCATAAGGTGATGTTTATGGATTCCCTGAATGGCTAATGGTAAAAACAAATAAATATGCCAGACATCAAATGTCATACAGTATTATGGTAAAGTTTTGTGGTAAAAAGGTTAAAAATGAATTAACATTTAGGACAAAATATGTTATATATCAAAGGTTGTAGAAGGCTGTAGGTTAGTATGGTAGTGAAAAGGGTAAAGAGTAAAGAGCAAACAGTGTATGAAGGCCAATCAGGACTGACGCAGAGCAAGCTATTCATACTTTCAGTGTGGTTCTCACACTTTAGGATGTGGACAGATGGTAATGAAGAAGAGAAGGAAAAGGAAAGTGGGAGAAGAAAAGACCATGCAAAATTAGTTGAGACGAGGGCTGAGATCCAAGGTAGGGCTGATCCCGTACATTGGGCCTGTCTCTGTACATTGGGCTGTGGCTCCATCTCCTAAGCCATCCCATGACAAAGCAGCAACAAGAGACTAGGGTTATGATATGTATTACTACATAAAATATATTTATTTATCCAATCTTGTAAGCACTTGAAAAACGTATATTGATTAGAATACTGATAGGAAATACTGTTATATTTGTTAGCTTAATATACCCATTTACTAAAATGTTGGAAAAGATATGCAATGCATGTTTTTGTGCACCTGGGGTTTCTACAGTTCCACAACAAATATCTCAAATGAACTGAGGTTTATTTGTTTAATTAGAAATTATCATGTAATGTCAAAAAGAAGCTATAAAGTCAGGGCAGTATGTAAACCTGGTACACGATGGATTCTCATCTCTGATATCCTGCATGTGAATTATCCAGCCCAAAGGTGTGTGTACTATGACAAGGCCTCAAGACTATACTTTCCTTTTGTCACATATTCTTAAATTTAGTCCTATAACAAAGCAAATGGCTTGAACTAATCTTTGGCACTGTGATCATGTTGTGAACTTATACATATATCAGGACGCACTTGTTTGAATATGAAGGCAACAAACAGAATATGTCTTTTCATTTTCCAATATTCACAGGAATGTGTCTTACACAACAATGTATGATAATATTCTAACTCTCCTAGTCATTTTTCTAGGAAAATTCTCTCTCTCTAAACTAAGACAAATAGCAAATTGCAATTCCAAAACATGCTCTAACATATGAATATTACACACTCTCTCTTCTGTGCATATTTTAATTCTCTCCTATTTATATACATATATATATATATATAATATATATATATATATATATATATAGATTATATATATATATATATATATATATATATATAATATATAGTGATAGTGTCAGAAGCCTGAAAAAAGTAGGAGGAAAAAACAATTTCAAGATGATTAAAATTTATTAACACAATGAAGAAAAAATCAGTACAGCAAAAATATTCTTCAGGTCACGATGGGTTCAAATGCATAATTTGCACATGGTGCCAGGGCAATGTGTGTACATGACATACCCACTGTGTGATTAATTAGTAATTTGTTTTAACACATAGATGGCTCCACAAGTACTTGTTACCATCGCAAGAACTGATTCAACTGTTTACCTTTTTTTTCGCGAGAATAATTTTTCTGGTAACTGATACTGCTATTATTTATGTCGATAAACAATATTGTAATAAATGAATGTTCATGTTCATGATAAAAATAAAATGTATCAATACTGATAGCTTTAGTAAAAAAAAAAAAAATTCCCCGCAAACTAAAGGAAAGGTGAAATCTGGTGTGGTCACAAGGTCTAATAATTGACTACTTTGTGGCCAAGTCCTGGCAGAGCCATTTATGTGTAGAGACATTTAACAGAACAGTACCACAGTGAACACAAAATTTTCCCGGAGGCATTGGGTTAATAGAAACCTAATGAAAAGTACCTGAAATTACTATTAACACTGATTTCAAAAAAGTAATTTAGCATCATCATATATGCATACTATAATTCTGTATATTTCTATAAGAGTAAATATAGGGTTCATCCATAATAATAATAAATTAGGATGATGCAGTAAATTAGGATGAATGCAATCTATAACGCATGTATCATTCAATGGAATAAATCTATTTTATAATTTATGTAGGGCGGTTAGTTTCCTCCTCGTAGACGGCGAGTGGTGGAGGAGAATTGTTCGCAAGTTCTTGCTCTCTTAGAAAATCAGTCATTTCTAGCTATCTGCTATCTTATAAGGATAATTGAGTGCGGCTTAACTATATGACCATCGATTAAACTCTCTATATCCTGTCGTAGTGTGACTGTTTAACGATTCTCTCCTCCAGAGTAAGCCGAGCCACAGTAACGAAGATAACAAGCAGGGAAAATTTAAAGTTAGGTTCTTACAGTGGCGCTATTCATGTATGCAAAATCGCAAGTGACAAATGCGCAGCCTACTTAAGACTTTTTCTGGTCAACAATTACCGAAATTTTTTTCTAAGAGAAGTCTACTACTATCTTCATGAAAATATACAGGACCTCACGATGATTTTATAGGTAGTTTCATGATCCCTAGCTGGGCCGTCTCCCCTCTGAAAGAGTACAGAAAGAGAAAAAGTTAAAATATTGTTAAGGTTGGTCTAGAAAAATGAAAAGAACATAATGTAGAAGCATCCGCCATAATTTGACCCGGTGCGATTCATTTAGTTGGGATGTGTCGTATATTAGGTAAGAAGCGAATAGTAACGCACGAGAACCGGCAGAGATCAAGGATGAAATGATACTGGAAGGAGTGAGAGCGACGAGGAGGTCTGAGTGCGTGCGAAGTTTGAGGTCATCGAGAGGACTTGGCAGAGCGAGTGAGGCAGGGAAGGGAGGAAGGCCAGGAGGCAGGTGTAGGGAGGAGACGAGAAGAAGCAGGAATATCAAAGGCTATGACAAGTAGTAGTGAGAAGAAGGAGAGATCTTCTGCTAGCATCGACCGTGCAGAAGGACATGACGACGATGAAAATGAAAGAAGAATGCGCAGAAGAAACGATGAGAAGCATCGAGTGAAAGCAAGAGAAGAAGAAGATAGAGAGGAAGAAGATAGAAAGAAGAAGGAGGAAGGAGCCGCAGACAGAAGACGATGAATGATAGAAAGGAAGAGAGAAGGGAGACAGAAGCCACACGGACCCAGCAACGCCAAGAAGAAGAGAGAAGAAAGAAGATAGTAGAGAAAGAAGAAGAAGAAAGAAAGAAGAAAGAAGAAAGAGAGAAGAAGAAGAAGAAGGAAGAAGATAGAAGAAGAAGACACAGGTGGGTGGACGGAGGAAAAGAGCGAGGTGGTGTTGGGTGGAAATGAGGAGGTGGGAGGGGACGAATAGCGAAGGAGGTGGTGGGACTGGAGAGAGAGGAGAGAGGATGAGAGGAGAAGGAGAAGGAGAGAGTGCAGATTATGGTAGAGAGGTGGAACGAGACGGTAAAAGGTGAGGTAGGGCGGAGTGGGACGTGTGAGGGGAAGAAGGGAGTAGAAGCGAGGAGGAGGTAAGAGAGGGGTCAGAGTCTGCGAGGAGAGGAGTCAAAGGGTAGATAGCGCATGGAAGTGCTGGGAGGGGAGGGAACAGGAAAGGAGGGAGGCTGGTGGATCTGAGCACAGAGAAAGATGATGGTAGGTAGAAGCACGTGCGGAGCGATTGGGAGGAATGGTATTAATTTCGGTAGTGAAAGGGAGGAGCATCGAAGAGATAGAAAGCTGGGGTCGAGTTGAAAGCTAGATGTAAGATAGAGAGAGGAGTGTGAGGTGGTAGGACAAGGGAATCATGGAAGGAAGAGATGGCGAGGTAGGTGAAGGAGAAGAGGAAGAGGAAGATGGGTGAAGGAGGAGGAGGAATGGAAGCGGTAGAATGGGTGGAAGGAGAGAGGAGGAAGGAGGAGTGGAAGGAGCGAGGAGGATGGAGGAGGAGTGACCAGGTGATGGAGAGGTGGTGAAAGGGAAGAAGCAGTGGCGGAGAGTGGATGGAGGACGGAGGAGTTGGTGACAGGCGGCAGAAAAGAGCCAGTGAGCGAAGGAGGAGGCGTGAAAGGTGAGGTTTGGTGAAAGGCGAGGAAAAGAAGAGAGTGAGGAGAACGAAAAAATAAAAAGATGAAGGAAAGCAGGAAGAAGAAGATCATAGAGGGTTGATGGTGGTGGTGAAGGAAGAGGAGGAAAGGAGGCAAAGATGAAGGAGGAAGAAAAAAACTAAGAAAAGAAAGAAAGAAGCGCAAGAGTAAAGATGAGAAGGGAAGAGGAAGGTGGCGCGTGAGAAAGCAATAATAAAAGAAAAGACGAAACCACATAGTAAACTGACAAAATTATACGGACTCGCATGTGGCTCGAGAGTGTGTTAGTTCACGCATGGTGATGAGGAGGCTGGGCCCGAGGATCACAGGGCAGAGACTGGGGCCGCTCGCACGTGCGACATTGGGTATCCGGTATGTTGGCACAGTCTGTCTGTGAGAATCTGACTGGAGATTCGTGCGTGGCGAACTCCCCGATGGCTTAGGGTAGTCAGCGTCCTGGCTGCTGGCATGTGACGAATAACCTATGACTCATCGTGCTGTGTGTTTGTGCTCTCCTATAATACCGTCTCGAAGGAGCTTGTATCCTGTCCGTCAGACGCCATGACTGTTACTCTAGACCGTACTGGAGAGGCGGAGCCGTGTTGAAGTGACATGAGCCTTCAGGTCAGAGTGGTGAGTGAATGACAGTACGTAAGGGTCACATTGTGGAAGGCGGCGAGTCTGCCCTTGCATCGCTTCGTTGTTGATGATCGAAATCCCAACGCGCCAACGAGGGCGACTTGTTCTATGTTACGCGAGATTGTATCCTGGTTGAGCAGGTGAATAGCGCACGCGTGGGACGCATGATGCAGGATTGGATCATTGTGATGGCAGACGGGTTAGTAACGGACGGGCGAGCGTCTTGAGCGAGCTTAACGCGGTAAGCTACAGGCGTGTGTGCGTCCGCTATGTTTGTAGTATTGCATGTTTTTGTCCGTGTGTGTTAGATTTCCTGGGATCACAATCGGCCGCACATTTGTTGAGCTACCCAGCGGGCTTTGATTAGTAGGGGCCGATGTAGTACATAGAGTATAGTCATCATGTGAGAGGTATAGTATAGAGGACTCTAACGAGACGAGAGACGTGATCGGGAGCAGGAAGAGAATATCCAGTATCATCCCTAGATTACTTTGTCTTTACGATCGAGAGTTACTGTATACCAATTCGCGTTGTTAAGACACAGGTAACCTGTGTATTATGCTAAATTTACTGGATGCTGAGTTCTGGTTGGTATGGTATTCGCCGTCATGGTATACAACCCCGCTTTGCCGCATGGCATTCCAGTATGACGCAATTGTGTTGAACTTTATCGCTTTATTATGCAACTTCACAACGACAGTTTCTCTTAGTCGTTATACTGATGACTTATATGTTGTAAGTAATCCTTGACGGAAGAGTAGGAATATAATCTCTCTCGAGTTCGGAGTCGTCGTGGCCTGCTGACGTAAATTCGTCACTTGGAGATGCACTCCATGTCATGCTCGCAGTCGCTCGAGAGTCTGTATGTGTACGTCAAGTGCCCTCGGATCAACCATGTTCCGGTAGAATCATCTGTATGTGCCAGGGTCGTCGAGCATGTGCTACTCTGTCGGCATGCTGTGGGTAAGCATTGACTGGTTATGTAGTGAAGTCGTTCGACACTCTACTGAGAGCAAGAGCCTGGTGCTACTCCTAGGGAAGGAATCACAAGTTATTGTGAGTGTTTGTCGTGTATTAGTAAGTGGTTGGCTACGAATTTGTAAAGCATGGATCTAGAGTTTTCCGACGATTTATCGATGATCGTTCGATGGTGACCATCGTCCCAACTTTCAGGTAGATTTCCTAAAACTAAGTTTAAGTTTAAAAAAAAAGTTACTCATACTAGGCGACTTTCTGTTCAGACTCAATTTGTCGATGTGGAGGCTGTTGTGCTGAGAGTGTGAGTGCAAGGGCATTGGATGCGATGAGTACTTGTGGTTGGGTAGCTTTGGCTTGTGCGGAAGCGCCCCGACTCGTGGAGCCTGAGTAATGGCAATCTTCTTCATTTATCTTCGTCTAGCAATACGAGGCAGTGAAGGCTTAGGACCAGGCACTATTGAACCCTCTGGACCACATCTACTTTGCTCTCGTGCTAGCTTATGGCGCTCTACCATCTCATTCTTATTACCAAGCTTCCCTCATTGCTGCATGGATTAGTGAAGCAGAAAGACCGACTGAAGTATGAACGAGGCTTGTGGTCCCTCTTCATGCAATCCTCGGTCACGATCATGCCTAAATAAAGGGAGATTACATAATTATAACTCATTTTTAAAAAGTAAACCAAGTTATGTCTTTCATAAGATTGACTTCTTGAAATTGCTTGATGTAATGTCATAATTCAAGGATATGACTATATACAATCATCAGTGTCCTTTATGATAAATAATATAACCTAATTATAAATTGGCATAAAGGTGAAAATTCTATTCAAGTTCACAAATAAAAATATTTTTACACAAAAATTCTCCCAAAGGATAAAGACTTACCTGTCTCGATCCCTATCCCTGTCTCTATCTCTGTCTCTATCCCTCCGATCCTTATCCCTGTCCCGGTCTCGATCTCCCCTGTCCTTGTCACGGTCCCTTCTGTCGCGTTCACGGTCACGATCCCTGTCTCTTCCTCTCTCACGGTCTCTGTCTCTATCACTTCGGTCTTTCTCTCTGTCATTTGCCTTCCCAACAGAGGGTACATAATCTCCAATATCACCATAAATACTGTCTTCTGCACCAGCTCTTCCAGCCTGGAATAAAAACACCTCATAAAACAAACAGATAAATGATATCAATTATATGAAATAAATGAAATAATGTTAAATATCTTAAACACTGTTTCCTACTTATATGCCTCACTCATAAATCACATCTACAGATGCGACTTATGCATGCATGCGAGTGCATGCCCATACATGCACCCACGCGCATACACAGACAGACAGACACAGACACACACACACAAAAATCATAAACTAAACAGATAAATAACTTTAATGATAAAATTGTATATAAGAAGAAGCAGTAAATGAAATAATGTTCAATATCTCAGATAGTGTTTCCTCCTCAGATAGCTTCCTTACAAACCACATACACAACAAATGCCCATTTCATTATAAAAGCATTGAGGTTTTCTTACTGAAAAGAGAAGTTCAATTCCTGTATTCCGTCTTTCAAGCTTTAACACAACTACACAATTATCATTATGGGTTATTTCCACTACCATGGTTGTAGGTGTGTGATAATGAAATCACATCAACATATACTCACAGCTTCATTTTTGCCTTTATCCTTTTTCTTTTGCTTCTTATTTGCTCTCCCAGTGCGGAGGTATGATAGAATCTGTGTCAGCTTTTGAATCACAATGTCGTTAGTTGTAAACGTAGCTTGCATGTTCTGTGGAGAGAAGTTTTGTTAAAGACCTCAGTAGAAAAACTACATGTTTAGTTTCAAACTCAACCCTACAATCAAAGATAAGTCTGATTCTAAGATACTTAAATTCTTATGTTCTAATTGCCACTACTGTCTTATTTGAATGACCATGGCCTCATATTCCAAGAGCTTTTACCACTGGTCAGCTGTTTACCTACGACTTTTTTGCTGTGAATGAGAGGGACATAATCTCTAGTCTACAGGTGAGGTCAAGTTGGGTTACTGACTGCTTATTAAGAACTTGCCAAGTCCATGTGTAAACAAAATTGACAAAACAAATCACAGTCGCCCAGTACATATGCTCTGCACAGACTATTACATCTTTCTAAGCACTAACTGCCCTGACTGATTTATTCATTAATGTATAATTTATATGCAAATGCAAATTGTAATGATAAAAAACAAATCATAAAATGACAAAGCCATTCTTACCTCAATACCCTGAAGATCAGCCTTTGAACGAATAATGGTTGTTGGAATATCACTCTCTGCAACTTCATCATCAAGGTCAATGGCGTAAGCCATGCGACCCGGCAGAAATAAATCTACAAAATCCGACTGCTTAGAGTTGAAGACTGCGTTGAAGATACGTCGCCCCACATTTGTCCTAGATATAAAAGGAGCATCATATAAAGTTTAAATATTAACATGTAATTTCTAGGATGAATTTTACCTCATCTTTGCCATAAAAGTTACATCATTATTCACTCTTCTATTCAACTAGGTATTTCCATATAATCTCCAAACCAAGGACATCTTAGTACTGTACATACACTAAATCCCTCCCACCAAAAAGAAGATTAAAACATGCCACATTCAATGAAAACATGCAACATACTCAGTCAATTGAGGTATAAAACAGTAAATATACAAACACTTAGTAGAGGAAATTACTTGAAAGTTAGTTCATCTTCTTCTTGAGGTGGAGGCATTGGAGGCTGAACAGGAGGTGGTTTCTTCTCCTTTGTCCCTTCAGCGGGCTTTTCTACTTCAACCATCACTTCCGATTCCTTCAGCTGGATCTCAGAACGGACCTTCTGCAGCAAAGCATAATCCAGGCCTTTCACCAAATGGGTATGTTCCATGTCACCACCCAAGAACTTCGATTCTTGAATCATTTGTTTCCTTCGTTCAGCTGCATCCAGGCCACTAGAAAAGGACATTCATTCATACTCCTATATATGAATTAGCCTAAAAACTGATGAAAAAAAAGGAAAGGAAAGGAAATAAAGGCCTTCTGTTTAAATACATAAAAATGACTCATTAATACTTTGCTGTATGGTTTATGGAGTTCTCTCTATCTTTAACTTGGAATGGGTGGCTCTAAATGTAATTGAATAAATTATCACTCAATCGCGAAAAAATATATTAAATTTTTGCTGAACTACTAAGCACATGGTGACAAATTTTACATGCTCCTCTCGCAACACGGATAACTTAATTCAAAGTGTAATTGAATAAATTATCACTCAATCGCGAAAAAATAAACAATGCCGGGTGTCCCGCCAGTGTGACTCTGTATCGGGGCTGTGCTCCGATGCAGCAGCGGGCCACAGCTGGCGGGTGGACAGACTCCGGGGAAGCTCCGCCCGCCGATTTTGTAGCCGCCAGGAATATTTTTATTTTGGTTACAAAATGTACCCGTTGTGAATGGGTTAAGCTAATATGACAACTACTGACTAAAACTGGGATATTCAATTATACTCGTATTTTCATCTACAAATAAATAGCCTTAAAAATTTCACAACACTTGGCATACATCATTGATCAAATGAAGTTTATCCTGTTAACATAATACAGATTTCATTATCCATGTAAGTGTTTGTGTCTGAAATAAGTCCAGGCTGAATGCACATTAACACTGTTACCTCTCTTGTAAATATCAATTAGTTATCTATATTGATAGGAAGATCTTTCCCCAATCAATATATAGAATGGATATGCAAAAGTGTAGTTTCTTAACCCCTAAAGACCAACAATTAAGGCGATCTGGAGAAAAAAACAAAACAAAAGTGATTAGAGCAACCACAATAGAGCAAAGCCTCTCAAAACTGGCAGGCTATTTTCCTGCTGTTTTTCTGCTGTCAATGGAAGGTGAAGTAATTCTGGTAATTCATGGTATGTAGAAAATTAGGATTATCTTAATAAGAATTCTTGTAATTTAGGACTTTCCCTTTACTTTACTTAATAATAATGATAATGAGGCTAATCTGGCATGAGCAATGCCTTTAAACAACACTCTATGCCTTGTATCCTTCCAACATTTCCTTGAAACACACTGTATGCTTCAAATTCATCATATCTAGTCACAGCATAACTTTTGACTACTAAACATATTTATATTTTATGCTTGATAATGGGGACAGGCAATCATACTTTATTCCAATTTACTGGTAATGACTTACAAATCTACTAATCATTTCAAGGGCTGTCCATTTAACACTTAATACTTTTCTAAGATTTATATATATCTATAAAAAGAGAGAATACGTTTTGTCCACATATTTAATGACTATGCCGAAGAAACTATGACAGCTGAGTGAAGAATCTACTCTTTTCATCCTCATAAGGTCTTTCAACCAATGAGCACCATGGTATACATAGTAATTATTACTGATAAAACCTGGCTTTGTATAAACACTTACATATCACTAATATCAAGGCCTCTATTTGCTTGGTTAGAGATCTTACTTTAATACCTGTAATATATGAATTATACAATATATGAAAACAATAATGATGCTTACGATTTGAGATCAGGAGCCACAGCACGGTAACCTCCCATGCCAGCTTGGGATGGATCCTCTGCCTGATAATCTGGATTCTTCCCATCTCTCCTTTCTTTTGCTCTGTCACGATATTTCTCAGCAAGTTCTGCCATTTTCTCCTCTTCTTCCTTCTTAATCTTAGCATAGTAGCTGAAAGTAGTTGATACAATCAATATACATCATTCATTCAACAGAGATGAGAAGCAACCTCTCATGGTTCTACTGAGATTCTTCACATCACAAGGTTTAAAAATACTTTAGAAATAATAACACACCTTTTTTTCTTTTTTCTTTCAGCTGCACGTACATCATCTTTATTCTCTCTTCTCTGTGTTGGTGGTTCTGCACTTGAGGTCTTTGCACCTACTGAAGACACAGGTTCTTTCTGACTCCCCGCAGGAGCACGGGGAGTCATCAGCAACTTTCGGAAGTCAGCATTTGTAAGACGCTGTGGCCTAAGGATTGTGAAAGATTATTATTATCTGTTTGAAGTTTATGAAATATGTGTTTGTCTTTCAAATCACAGGCTGTTCCACAAAATGTTCATATTAATTTTACTTACCTTTCTTCAACTAAGGTTTCCCCTGGGGGTGCCAGGGGGTTTGAAAACACTTCTTCCCCACCTGGAAGTACACAGCATGTGAACACCAAATATAATTTCTATGAAGATTAATTTGATTCTAATCTAAAGAGACCTAAAAGAATGGTAATTTTCCAGAATATATGCTATATCAGTTCACCTTTGCACACTAAAATAAATCATAACTAGTGTTCAGAACAGAAAAATGTTACATGAATTCTTTTCACTCTCTTTTCAACCTCAATCTCTTTGATACTATTGGACTTCTGCACCTAAAATGTTCTATTTTAGTGTGTTATGCTGGAAAATCCTTAGGATACAGAATTAAAGTCCAATTAAAGCATAGCATCACAAGACGGGGTTACCATGACACGGTGAAAACAAACCCATCATTCATAGAAACCTCTAATAGAATAATGAAAATTTACTTAATCATTGTGAGTGAAAATGTCGTATGAATACTCTGATATGTTACTTGGCGGAGAGAAAAAGCATCATGGAGTGAAACTATAAGCTGTGCTTCTAGAAGAGTGTCCATATTGTCTACCTACTGAAATTTGGATTGAAAATTCTTCAAAATGGATTATTAATGAATTACCAATTCCATTGGTTGTTCGAACCATAATATGATGACAAGGAAATGTCTAACCTTTCATATATTCCCAGATCAAAATAAGAAACCCAAAAAATGGAAGCGATGGTGGAAAACATATTTACATCTGCTTAGAACATTTTATTGAAGACAAGAGTTTAATTGATTAATATATTAATATATCACACATTTCTATTTCTTTTGAAAACCTATTTTACACTAGGTGCCCAAGCGCTCTCATCAGTGTTTACGCATTTTGAGGCTGGAACCCATCTTATATTTTTCAGGTTTCTTCTTGCGATCTAGGAATATGCAAAAGGTTAGACCATCATATTGTGGTTCAAACGACTAACTCTTATACTCCTCAGCATTTTCACACAAACTTTAAATTCTTGGATAAACACAGCGAATCTGTAGCTGGACACAGCGAGTTCTTAGAACAAATGAGGCTTTGCTCGTTGCTAGGCGAGTTACTACGCTTTACCAAATCAATCTATAATTAGAGGTGTAAGTGCACTTAGGGCAAACCATCATTGGATATAAATACACCTTGGGATTACATTTTCCTGCAGAATTGCTACAAATCATGTAGTACGCAAATGCTAGAAAATGCTAAAGACTAAACAAAAATATGGAAATGGGAACTTTCGGGACATCATTTAACACACTAAAGCTATTCTGTAAAACCTTCCAAAGGTACATTATGCCAAAAATAACGTAATTTGACAGGAAATAATCTATGCAAAGAGTAACAAGCGAAACCTTAAAATCGCTCACCTCAACGAAATGAACTCAGTTTTTCTCTTAATAGCTCGTACAAAATAACAGCTAAAGTAATAAAATCAACACAAGGTATATATAACTTACCTTGCGGCATTTTGCCTGCTATATCAGACACCTATTTCATCCGCTTTTCGGTTCTAAAGCTGGAAATGCAATATTTCTCGCTGCTCCGTGTTTTTCTTCCGATGTAAACACACAACAAGTGAGGGCGA